AATAAAAAGGAAGAAAGGAAAAAATTAAAATTATATCTATAAGCATACAAACAAAATTCTAATACAAAAATTATAACAGTAAATTAAGATATTATACATATATAGATATAAACATAAATGTACACATAAATATGTACTTACTATATGTATAATAAATAAACACATACATTACACATCAGAAGACAGATATAATTAATTACCTTAGCATTATTCTCGAAGCATTTTCTAAGATGGGGTTGCACTGCTCTTGGGTTGCGAGATTGGGATAATATTTCTAGCAATTCATCATCACTAAGGAAGAAGAATCTCGGGAACCGTACTCGTTTAAGTTCCATATATTCATTCAGACCTCGTGATACAACAGCCTGTAAATGACGAGCTTCAACCAGGCTGTCTAGAAGACGGCTATCCGGACATATAATCATTATCTATAAACAAATTAAATATATTAAGTGTAGTTATAAAACTAAGGCTACATTTACACATGCTTTAAATAAGCATGCTTTTTTTTAAGCAACACTTGAACACACATGCTAGTAAACAGCACGTGCTTAATTAAAGCATGCTTTTATGCTTGAAATGAGCATTTGTAACAGTTGCCTATTATTTAAAACATTTCACGTGTTAGAATACTAACAAGCATTTAAAAAATACTATTAATATTTAAACTGTGCTACACGTGACTAAATATCGTGTGTATAAAGTTTAAAACTCGTTTGAAAGTTTGCCAAATACAGTTAGGAAAATAAACCTTTGGACATGCTGCTGCCCATGACATAATTCGTCTCCATGCCGTGCCGTACTTTTTAGCATCAAGCGGTAATTGTCGTGATATATCTTCAGACGTAAATATTGGTTCTCAATACATCCAATCCCTTTATATAATAATATAGATTATGGTACACAATGTATGCAATATAATAATAATATATAAAGAAATACTTTAAAACATACTTTTGACATTCAATCCATTTGTCAACACCTTTTTTGTAAGCCGAAGCTTATCATCCCATTCCTGTATTCGTAGCTCGACAGCTGCTTTTAAAGGACTGAACCCTAATTGTTGTGTAGTCAAAAGATGTTCATCCAATAGTTGGAGAGTTTCGTCAGCAATCTTCATTATAAACGTGCCTGTAAATTAGATTATAGACGCTTGATAACTATTTAAATAAATTGTAACTTTATTAATTCTCAACTGGAGTGCTATACAGTTTTGCTTAGAAATAATTTAGAACATGTTATTTAATTACCTATCTTAGAAATTAGTCCAACACAAAATAATGACATGAGGCTATAAACATTCGAATGTTCTACCAGTCTTTTTATATGGAGACACTTCCATCGTCTTGGCCGCCCGGTCGTTAAGCATTTTATCGAGTGCCTGTTCTATCACGTATTCCTTGCTGGCTAGTTCACCAATCTCAGCTATCAATTCAGCATGTTGAGCCACTCCTTGCTTCAGACACATTGCAAACGTCTGTTTCTCGTTCATTGTTAGTGTTATACCTATATTTCAATATTCATATTATTAAAACAATAATCATCTTCGTTCAAAATTTTATTTGACTTCAACCAGTCATTTTATATATTTCATATTTTTATGAAAAATATACCATATTAGTTAGAATATCATAAAAAAAAATAAGTCAATCATAGGTTCTGGTGCTTCTAGCTAGTATGTAAAATATATCATTTAAACCAATAAAATGTTGTTACTTTTAAAAACTATAGCTTCATTTCAACAGAATTAGTGAATTTTTTTACCGAAGATAATTTCTATTGCTTTAAAAAAAAGCTAGGAGACGAAACGTTACAAAATGACTTATGTATGAATTTTACATACCAGCTTTTTCCTTGAATTCATTCCAGCGTCGTTCTTTCATTCCAGGATTCCTAACAGCCTGCATGTCTGGTATCAACGGTTTAAACTCTTCCATATCATCCTGTTAACAAAGGTATAATAATACTATAGTAATATTGTTAATAAAGTCACTAAACACATTGAAATAAGATTCACGTATCTTTATACTATAATTTACCTATTTTGTTTGTAAAATTGTGTAAAACATTATAATAAAATATAAACATAAAATAAATTTTAATTATTAGTTACTTCTATTTATATAACGTCTAAAATAAGTGAGATGATTCAATAATTTGATCCTGAAAAAACCCACGGCTACATATACATAGGTAGGTAAGCGTTATATGTAGTAATCCATATGTTGTTACTTAGGTATATGGAAAAGTAATATGGGCGAACAAAGGCCGGGGCAAATGTTTATGACTAAAATTAAACTAGGTATTATCAAAATAAGTTAGAACAAAAGAAATTCACAAGGTTGTCAAACTAAATATAAGGTTTTAATTTAAAATAATATCTATGGAATAAATACTAAATATAATGAATTTCTTGGTTTCTTCGTGATCGGTTTTTGAGTTTTTCAAGCGCTTTTAAAAACTATTTATGGCCTCAATTTTTTTTAATGGTTCCTTAATCAGCTCAATAACTTACGTCAAGTCAGAAGCATATAGTTAGGATCTGATTGTATATGTAAGGAGTGACTTGATAACAATTCTAAGGAGTAATTGGATGACGTTTGTTTAATCACGGATCTAAAATTGTATGTTGTTACTTAGTAAATGCAAAATTGTGATAAAGTTGTACTCGTCGAACCGAATCACCAAAGAAATAATCTATATTTTCGTCTAGTTAAACAGTTCGAATAGTTTTTTTTTTAATAATAGGATAGATGACCTTAATCAATTTAATCATTGGTGATGAACGAGGAGAATCTATCAATAAAATATATATGTATATCGATATTGTGTTAAAATAATAAAAAAATAAAATCATACCGAGTCAATCTTCATCCTAAGTTTGTCAAAGAGTTAAAAGCAGCGGTGACAGTGTTTTACGAATCTTTTTCACTGAAAGTATGTATAGTCAATCTAGCGTCCACATCAAATTACACAAACACATTAATACTAATGTCTTATTTCACAATTTATAGTTCTTACTTGATTACAATTTATTAATACAGTCCTTAAAAAAGCGAACTGACTTAAAATGCATTAGTTAGTCCATATATTATACAGTTTTGTTTTTATCCTGTCACAAAAAAATTACATCTACCCTCACAACATTTGCTAATGAAAATTATCCATATAACTATGTATTTTCATTCAAAATGTTCAATAAATTTTAATATTTTCAATAAAGCAATTTTTGAACCATTTAACATTAATAAGTCACTCATAATAATTTTAAAATAATTATTTAATATACTAATAATTAATTAATTTATGAGAGCTGGTAACATTTCATGGCGATTCTGCCTTATGTTATCGTCTCTGAATTAATAAGTCACACTTAAACAGAACTTACTTAAAAATCAACATTAAAAAACTACTGAGTCTATTACTTATTTTAGAAATATACCAAAGTTTTTACAAGCTTTAGGTCTTTGTTTTAGAAACAATGATTAATTAAGAACATATTAAAAAATAAAAACGAAATTATGGTACATGTAAGAAATAACAGAGAGATACAGGAATGCCTCTCTGTAAAATAAAAAGAGGAATAGGAGATGTTTAACTGGGTAATAGTAAAATAGATCTAAGTTGTAAATCAAGAAAGCAAATTGCTTTCCAAAGTCCAATGAAAGAAATTAATTTATTATATTAAAAATATACACAGAATGTATTGTTTTTAGTCCAATCAATAAGTGTAAATTTTAATGTTGTACTGTTGAATCGTTTGAACACTATTTAAAATCAGTTTATGTATACAATTTAGGACCTAAACATCATATATGTACTTTGAAAGAAAATTTAATTTAGGTTATTTCAAATAGTTGTTATAAATAAAAAAGCCTTTAATATTAATTTTTTTTGAAATATTACACTATTGTTCTAAGGAAAAATATTAAATTGAATAAGAAAAATTAAAATGAAACTTTCTGAAAAATATATCAATAAAACCGTAAAAAATCTGCGTGTATTGATTTTATCTCAAAATTAAATCGCTTTTCCTTAGAAAGTTCTCAAAATATACAATATAATATGAAAGAAGCAATGTATATTGTATAATCAAAATTGTGCTTACAAGAACGTATTAAAAATACGCATACCCCTTATACGTTATCCTTGAATTTTTACTAAATACGTAAATGTTCCAGGCAGTATTTTGTGATATGGTCATGACAACTGGTGCTTTCAAGGACGTGCGCTTATATGACAAATAAAAGAATTGAAAATAAACTGATCACCAAAATTGTCACACGTTGTTGTATAGAAAAACATAGTTGGATATAAAATGTCACTTAGGAAAAGGGAATAACAAATTAAAAAGTGAACTGTCAAAAATACTTTGTACTTTGATATTTAAAAAATGATTTCGAAGTGCTCAACAAAAGTCAATCAAGGAATAGATTTTTCAATAGAAATTTAATCAAAATAAAAGTATATGTAGTAATAAAATATGAAATGAAAAACTCTGAAATATCATATATGTATATACGCCTATGATATTTTTCTCCTTAATCAAAATAGGTACAACAAAAATTTACAGACGCCAAAATTATTACACCTTCAAAACATCTGTTCATTTGATTAAAATAGAAAAGCAAATTCTTGGCCAATTTCATTTAGATAAATAATAAATATTAATAATATATATTAAGTAATAAATATATATATATATTATGGCTTCATTTAACCAACATTTTTTCTTAACAATTAATTATCACGCATAGATGTTGCATCCACAAAGGTCAGCCAGTAAATATATTTTTTATCCAGAGTTTCTATATTCTTAGTAAATTCTCGTACAAGTTTTTCTCGTTCGTGTTAAAGAAATTTATATGAGAATCGTGTTATATTTTTGTACCTACATATATTAAAGATTCATAACCGGAACTGGATTCAAATATTGTATTGTGTAACGCTGAGTAGACGCTGCGAGGGTTAGACCCTGTTTGTTTTTAGATATAAGCAAGTTGGACGATCAGTTGGACGACCAGTTGGACGATCAGTTGGACGATCAGTTGGGCGACCAGTTGGACGATCAGTTGGACGATCAGTTGGACGATCAGTTGGACGATCAGTTGGACGATCAGTTGGACGATCAGTTGGACGATCAGTTGGACGATCAGTTGGACGATCAGTTGGTCGATCAGTTGGACGATCAGTTGGTCGATCAGTTGGACGATCAGTTGGTCGATCAGTTGGACGATCAGTTGGACGATCAGTTGGTCGATCAGTTGGACGATCAGTTGGTCGATCAGTTGGTCGATCAGTTGGTCGATCAGTTGGACGATCAGTTGGTCGATCAGTTGGACGATCAGTTGGTCGATCAGTTGGTCGACCAGTTGGACGATCAGTTGGACGATCAGTTGGTCGATCAGTTGGTCGACCAGTTGGTTCCGAAAACCATTCCTAGATATCCAATTAAAAGCACCTTCGCCATTCCTAGATTTCACACAAATGTCGGAAAATTTTCGTCTTTAATTCGCTGTATGAGGACCTACAATCAAATTGATTCCCATGTCTTCGACATATACAGCCAAAGTAATGATAGTTTAAAAAAAATAATAAATACTGTTTTAGTTAGTAATTGATATTTAAATGTTTGTTATCTTATTGTATTCAGATTCTTTAAATGTTTTAGTGTAGTGTTTACTTTACCTTTAGTTACTTTTGTTATCATGTAAGTACATAATAATGTAAATACCTGTAATGGTGTATCACACTGAACAAGTTATATTTTTTTCCACATATGGTTTGTGAATATGCCGATGGTATTTCCAAAATAAATAAATAAATAAAAAAAGAAGACATTTATTTCTTTACGAAACTAACAAAAAGGGATTACAAAAAAAAATCGTACATTTTTTTAAATTAAGCCATACGAATACTACAAAGAGCACGATGTTTGTCTAAATTTCGTCAAGTCATAAGACAGCTTTTTTTATTAAACTCCATAAAGAACAGAGTAAACGGATTTAAGGAGTAATCTCTTGGCACGTAATTTAACGTGACCCAGTAATGTCACGTCATAGCAATATAATGAAATTCTCTGGATGATTTGTCTCATGTTACATTTTAAAATTATTTCCTCTTATGAATACTTAGAGTACTAATATGTTTGATTAAGTCATATATAATTTCATTGAAGTCCGATTTAAAATAACATACTGCTAGAACATTCCATGAACTTGTTATTTATCTGCCATGTATAACTGCACTTTTATAATTGAACAAGTATTGCAATGCTATCAAGTTTAGAATAACGAAACAAACTCACTTTGTGCTAGGTTCCAAGAGGTAAATTACAAAAATTGTTACCATAATCAGCCAGTAGACTACTCACAAATTAATCACTTTAATCATCAACCATATTGTTAATTAGGTTTTATAACAATCCAAAACAGTTTGCTGGGATTTTAATAGCCATTAGTAGATATAAATTGATTATCTGCCTAGGAATTACTAATGACAGACAATATGTAATTTATCTATTTCTTTAAATGCATTTTAAAATCTATACAAATAAATAACATTGGATTCTGTTTGTTATATTGAAATAACCGTTTTTTGTCATTATATTTTGTTTGTACGTTTATGCAGACGAAGTCGGGGGTGACAGGTAGTCTTTTGATGCAATTACAGTGTCTTAGACTTTAAACTTATAAAAATAACTATTAACTTATTAACATCAAAATGTATATGGAGATTACTCTTAAGTTCTACAATAGATCTTTATTAACTGTTTTTTTTTATAATATACGTATACTTATATAATTAAATCTATCAACAAAAATCTCATTTAATACCTAAATGCATATTTGTACTCTCGATACGGTTGTTTTAATATGTATTATTAAGATCTAAATATAGATGAGGAGTTATTTGACGGTCAGTTGACACAGAGCAACGCTCCTTTATCTTAATTGAATTATATTGCTAGTACTTATGCTACACTTTATGATGTTTGTTGTTGCGAATAAAAACATTAAATGATTATTACATATATTAATTAATGTCTTAAATTTTTATCTCATTTTAAAGGTCCAATTACAGGTCGTTTGAAATAAATAATTAGGTTATTAATAATATATTTGTACATTAACTTTCACTAACCAGAAACTATCACTTTTTCTTTGTTTTACACATAAATAATGTATTTCAAAATTTTTATAAATACATGTTTATCATTTATTGTTGCATTTTATATCTAAAGAAATTTATGTTAGTGTCTTCTTATAATTTCTTCTGTAATTACTGCTTTATATTAAATTCCGTGCACATCCTACAAATATAAGATTGTTCGGAATGGATTATTAATTGATTAATTTATTTTATGTCTTTGTAAAGAACTTTTCAATTGACATATACTTTTGTTAGAATTATGCCATCAACTATATTGGTATAATGTTCTTATGTAAATATGTATATAAAAACTATATACTAATATTTTAAACATCATCCGTTTTAAAAATACGCTTAATAATATTTTCTTTAAATTGAATATATTTTCTTTTGTTTATTATTTCATGACTCAGAAATTTGATCAAAATTTTGTTGTATAATTTTAAATCAAAAGATGTTTTTAATAAGTTTGCTAAAATACTTTCAAAGTCATGTCAAATTTCATGGGTTTATAGTTTTTAATGCAAAAATAAGTAATGTGCCATGATTTAAAAGTAACAGTTACTTTATTAAGATCTATTTACTATGGACAAGACAAAAATTCCGTAGTCACTTAGCATTTTATTAACTAAATATATTTTAAAGATTTCTCTTGATTTGTTTTTTAATTTAGTATGCAACAGATCCTAGTATAATTTTTATTTTCTTATTTATTTAGACGAAATCATCTAGCTTATGTGACACTATATAAACTATAAATCAATTGAATTTTCGATATTTTTTAAAACTTATTCATAAAAAAAATAATTAATAATTACGATCTCTTTAATTATTCTATGTAGGAGACATCATAAATCAAATTAACTGAACTATACTTCATAACGGCCTCAACTGCATACGTAATAAGGCATTGCAAATTTTAGTCGCATCTAAACTTCACACCTTCCGTTGGTGCAGACGCAGTCATTATAAAGTTCGGATTATGAACATCGTATACAAACTGTTTTAATTAGGGAACAAACATTTTTAACGACTATTCCGTAGTAATAAAGAGATGTTGCTTTAAAGAATTTCATTACGTGATTAACTCGCATTGTTTTTATTATTTGCTAAAAAATTATATTTCGTTTCCGATATTAATTATATCGTGAAATCTTTTAAATTTGTTACGTATGTACAGTTTCTGGTTTTAATTTAAATACTACAAATCTTTTATATATGTTTATATGAATATTTTGCATTGAAATGAAAACAATATTGAATTATATTGCATTTTTAAACCAAGGTTATAAATTAAAATAAATAATTTTAATGTACACAAAAAGATAACCAAATCTTGGTGGGTAAAAAAAAACGATAATAATAGTAAATATCCCTACTAATATTATGAATTCGAAAGTAACTCTGTCTGTCTGTCTGTCTGTTACGCTTTCACGCCTAAGCCACTGAACTGATTTTAATGAAATTTGGTACAGAGATAGAGTTAACTTGAGAAAGAACATAGGATAGTTTTTATCCCAGACTTTTGAAAGGTTCTCTTGGAAACTCGGTATAACCGAACTCCACGCGAGCGAAGCTGCGGGCGGAAAGCTAGTATTTCTATATAATGATTAATATTCGTGAATATTGAACTGTTTGTATAATTATTTATTACCATACATAGGTACATCAATCATCCAATATTATATCCATATACATATAATTCTATGTATTTATTTTTGAAGTAAGTTTTCATAGCATATAGTTTTTTTATTTCAATAAAGGCCTATTCAAATCAAGGAATAATGAGGAATAATAGCCAAAAAAAGATATACATCAAAGTAAAAATGAGAACAATAATTGAATCATTTCATATTTACTAGAAATTGTTTAATGTATGTGTATAAAGTGTGAAAATTATGTATGTATTTTAAATAAATAATTGAAATATTGATTTAATGATGCGGTCTACTAGTGGCTCTGCACGAGCTAATACAAGTATGGGTTCCCAAAGAGCAGTTGCTAAATAAATAAATAAATAAAGGTTTATATAATCTGGTCCGCAGTGATTGGTGCCAATTTTGGAATCTGATGTTTTACTGTATCTACTCATCTCATTTAGTTAGTCACTTAATTATACGAAACTCAAATCCGCACTCACTTTTATTTCATTGGTTAATTTCTCGTACATTGAACATAAAACAGTTCCAACGAAATCTCTACTAACAAAGCCTTTATTCTTAACATCGAGCTCAGAAGGTTATTTTCCGTTACCGCCATCTCACAAAGTCTCTTTAAAGTAATTAAACTGAAATAAATTGCAGCAATTTGATACCTGACGCCATTTTTTCCGACAAGAATACTTTATCATAAAAATAATCCCTGATTTTTTTATGTTCATATAATATTTTTTATATTTGACGAGATGTGTATTTTTAAGAACATGTTTTAAAAAATCATGATGAGAAGATTTGAATGAAATGTTTATAGACAACAAATACAGCTATACATTCTATATACACAAATGCTCGTAGCGTGAATTTTAATCTATCACATTTATCTATATACGTACTTATCGCCGATACTTTAAATTATAGAAATACATATGTAGAAACTCTGAATGAGTTGTCAATGCAAATTAATACTAATCCTTGAAATGTACATATGGCTATCTTAGTACACGACAAATTATTTAGAACATATTTTTAATGAAGCCAAAACACAAACAGTGCCTACAAAATTTCGCCTAATTAGTGTGATTTTCATTCGCCGATAATGAATTCCATAAATTTTTATTACACAGTTCTTTCATTTACGGAAGATCAATAACTTCACTAATGAGCTTTAATTCTTTCAAACCTATTTCTATGTGATCGATTACCGATGCTGATTAGTTTGCGGCCACTTCCTATTTGTTCTAATAAGATTATTTTTTGATGGCGTTTTTAGAAGATCTCAAGTTATTTGGAAGTTAATGATATTAGTTACAAATAATGTTACTAATTGATTAGTGTCATATAAGAAGACATGTATCAGTAAAATTGTGTGTATATCTGTTTGTTACGGGAAGTCTTTGAAATAGTTATGTGGTTACTGAAGAATCCTATTGTTTAGGATAGTTTATTTCCAGCGAAACCCTGAATAGCGGAGATTAATGAAAATCCTGTACAAGGCTGCTTTTCACTGATTACACAACAATATACAATCTGGATTGAACATTTCAAGTTCTACTTATGACTATTCAGCCATACGTGTAGGTTTGACGCTAACGTGTAAAATTTTATTACAGTTTTGAGATCATTAAGATTAAACACGTCTTGAAATTAATAGCCAGAGTTAATTATTGTTAGAATGGGAAAATTATTATGTTAAATATTTTGTTTGGTCGAATAACTCATATTAAAAGGAGTACATAAAGCTGATAACATTTTCAAAGAGCTATTTACCTTAACACAAAAAATCTATATAAAAAAACAGTTACACAATAAGTGTTACAAGAAATGTTAAATTATTCTTCCTGTTACTAAGACATATTTAACGAGGTTCATTACTTTTGTGTGTACTGAGTTTAACTCTTTTAAAATGGTTATGAATACTACTAGTTTTAACTGGATTGCTATTTTTAGCATAGTGTATAATTTATAAAATAAAAGAAAGTGGTAACTGCTGTTACTAACTTTAAATTTTGAAAGTACAGTTTTACTTCAAATCGTTGTCTTTTTAAGCACACGTTTCTCTCCTGATAGATTAAAAGTGCTGGGAAAAATTCGCTTTTACAGAACATTACTTTTATATTTCCTTATTGCACACAGATGCTGAAAGATTTGACGCAAAAAACGCTGAGATAATAAAATTTTACTTAAAATTTTGTGGCAACAGAAGATAATTTGAAAGATCAAGGAATATTTGAAATAAATTATGAAAGAAGATCATTCATGTAATATATGTACATACGTATGTCGAATCATTGGTCCTACCTAGCTATAAAGACTTATATGCTATGTTTTAATTCGTTTTTAACCATCTACATATAATACATAATACATACACAATACATTTTTTACATAAAACTTTCGTTTATTTTATTTGAAATCATTTAAATATTCAGAAATAGTTTTCAGCTCATAATTTTCGTAATTACTAAAGTTGTTTAAGCTGTTACAATGGGCCATTTAAATAGTACAGGCCAATGGGCCATTTAAATAATTCATAAATAGTACAGGCTTCGTATTGAACCTAAGCAATTAAAACTCAAAGTTAAATGACGATAATATTTGGATTTTGTTTTATATTTAACTTAAAACCAATGTAAAATTATTAGATCGATAAACACTGATAAATTTAGTTTTGTTTATTTAAATCAAATGTTCCGAAAAATTTGCTTAATTAGTTCTCTATTTCGTCTTCATTGTGATATTTATCAAATATTTCGAAACCATAAACAGCAAATTGAAGTTCACGAAAGCAGTTAGGAGGTTTATTACTTAGTATAAATTAAACTCATTTATAAAAATGTTTTCATTTCAGTATGTTTTTCTGCAGTGTCAAAGTTAATACTGTAATATAAAAAGTAAACTGGGCTAAAAAACGTTTGTAATTTTAAGGGATAATATTCAAAAAATCGTCTTTGTTGGTACAAATAGCATATTTATCACTGTCAACTATTAAATACAATCAAGAAATTATAAGTTTCGACTTTGATCAAAATATAAATGAAGACATTTTGACTTCAACCTGACTTTGAATCGCAAGTTATTCTATTGAATTTTAATGTATTTTAAACTTATCAAATTTTGTTAGAAATAATCCATTTTATAAGATTAAAAAGTGAAAAAAAGTCTTTATAGTACAATTAATATAAGATATATTTTTGAAAGAGTTATTATCTTTCCTAAAATAAACATTACGAAACTTTAATTTGTAGAATCATAAACATAATAAAGTTCAATTGAAGTCACGTTTTATAATTGTGAATCGTCCAAACAAATCCATAAAATACATAATACGAAACGCTCAAAAAGGTCGTTAGAGAACAAATTAAAAGTACCTACTAACTGCGTCACAACGATCAGCAGATATGGCTTGGAGCAAATTTAATTCATATTACCCAAAAAATAACGATTAATATACAACAAAACAAAAACTGGCTTCGGTTTAAATGATGGGCCAAACAGCTTTTGCGTGTGTTAATAATGTTTGCAACCAATTGTACGTATACATTAAATGCACATTATACAATGGATATAAAAGTTACAGTCGCAATTAAAACTAGATATTGCTTGTGATAATTTGGTTTCGTAAACTGTTACCCAACATTGTTTATGTTACTCGGCACGTAGAATAGGGAGATAGTTACTATGTATATGTAAATACAAAGCTGTTCACTAATCTATTTCTTATATTATGAATTAGGATGGTTGCTATAATATGTCGAATATGTACAATATAAAAGGATTATGAATAAAACGATTTCTAGATCGTCTCCTTAGTACTTATATGCAAATTATAATCTAAAGTGTAAGTATAAAGAAATAAATTTAACTTAAGGTTAAGTAGCACAACGGAATTTATGATATAGTAGATTCAAAAAGTATCATGAGAAATGTATGAAGATATGGGATACAAAAAAAAACCTACTTATAAAAATAGTTATATTAATAATGTTAAGGATTAGATTATATATATAAATACGTATATATGTTCATCTTCAGATCTAAAATTCAGACTCTCATAATTAAATAGCAATAAATCATATGATATTTAGTCATTAGAATCTAAATAAAATTTGGTATATCGGAATCAAAATAGTTGCTCTATTTTTTTTTTTTTTTTTGTTATCGCGGTGAAAGGTTTTATACCTACCCCTCCGTCTAGGGGAGACAGAGGCGGTTATGTGGGATTCACGGCCAGAAGGGCCCATGTTACCCACTAAAACACCAGCGGTCACTCTCCGTTGCCGCCAAGTGGATCGCCACGGGAAACGCCGAAGCATGCATCCGCGACGATCCGGCGGCGGGCCGCGAACGGCCACCTCCCCCCCCCGAGGGCTCACTCCAAGTGACCAGGAGTGTCCCCCCGCCTGGCGGGCTTGCTTAATCGCGAGAGGGTTAACCCCTTACCCCTCCCACCCAAGCCCACGCGGCCAGTCTCCAACCACCCACCGACGAGCGTAAGCGCCCGACGGCAGACAGAGAGGAAACCGACCGACCACAAGCGAACTCAGGCCTCCGGAGAGACCCGAGTATCCCCTCCCCCCCAAGACAGCCACGGACGGCCTCCTGCCAGATCCGTGACCGTCTTACTCCCAGGGCTGTACCCCCAGCCCTCCCCCCCGTGACTGATTGCACAGGAATACACCAGTGGGCGATGGGGTCGTCACGTCCCGACGCCGGAAAAATAGTTGCTCTAAGGCCAATAAGGGTTGACCGCAAGAACGTCGTAAATTCAAACCAGCATTTAACGATCAGTCATTGTCGTCGGTACCAAGGGTTCCCGATTGTAAATATTCGAGGCGATTATCCTCTGAGTTAACAAATAACGTGAGTTTGATGCTAGCCGATCGTTGCCAATAACGATACGAATTTACGTACTTTAGTTTAGTATGTCCAAAATATCAGCGATTGCGGATTGTGATTCATAATTAAGTAATTTTGTGTTTAAAAGGAAACATTGTAAGTTATTCCTCATTTCTATGGCTTAATATGGCTATCATACAAATGGTATATATATCATACAAATGGCTTTAAACATTCTTTCTTTCTTTAAACAATTTTTCAAACTCAAATAACCACATCAAGATGTTGTTTTATTACTGACATATTACTGGACTTATATTTAATCTTAATAGCTGACTATTAAAACAACAGTCTCACGTATATGATTCCTAAAATTATATTTTTATAAACTTCACAAATTAATAAAACAACGGAATTTCAAAATTCCTTACTATAATAATTTAATTTTCTATCAATATAAATCCATCTATAAAATGTACGGAACATTGTATGTATATTTCAATAGAGAACCAATAGTAGTGACGTTAAGTTGGTTATAATTTAGTCATAAATAGCGCAGACAGCACTATCAAGAGGCCTACTATCCATGGGGTACACGTTTCATATTAAAGGGTTTATGGCTCCCGGATCAAAGTGATAACAATTTTTTATTATACAACCCATAAACATTTGTGATGATTTGTGGCCAGTTTAAATATTATATTAGAGTTCGGATTTTTTTGTTCATTACGTATGTATTATGTATGAAAAAAGAATTAATTCAGTGGAATTTATTTTCGTTACAAAGACGAAAAAAAATTTTAAAATAATTAAATATGCTCTTAAAATTAAGTAGTTTTTAATAATAATCATATAAATTGATTTTGTTTTTCTATACTTATTTATTTATTAACATATTTCATTTGCTGTATAAGGTCCTGTGCGTTGTATTGTACGATCATCTTCGGTTATGCATTGCAAATGTTTGATTTTAGACCAGCATGAATATAATTGCCCTGAATTCTGCTATGTGAAACTGTTATTAGCATAGCCTGCGATAGGTATGCCTTGCTTTTATGACGTCACTAATTAATGTTCTCAAAACTCTTCATCAGAATGCAATTACCTCTATTTTAGGTTCTATGTTATAAAATATAATTTTCATACAAATTTATCTACTTCTTGTTACCAAACAGCCTGAAAAATCTAATCACTGTTCTTGTATGAACATCTAACATTTGTTTACAGTAATAAAATAAAGTTTTTACGATAGTAATAGTTATAAACAAGATAAATTGATAGGTTATTTACCAATTCATATTTATTTAAAAATACTTCTGAATCAAACAATAAAGGTACGAAAGGTTGAAACTTTCACTATAACGTTGATTATCTAAATAAAACATGTATTTTACAAGTTTCACTTTGAAACCATTAATAAATATTAAATAGTAACTATATCCCCGCTGGGCTAACTCACTGGGTCAGAAACAATTTGATAGTTTTATAAGTATTTTGTATTGATAAACCTTAAGGAAGGTTTTTATTCAAAATATATTAAATATTGTAAACACGACTAAAACCACGTTTCCTAAAAGAAACTAGCACGACTTATCGCCTCTAATACCCTACGCATACTAAATTTTGTAAAATTTTTCTTAGCTCATATTAAGACAATATTAAGAAGAATAGCTCGTTTTTATTATGTATGAGATAGATAAATTACATCATTTACTGAACAATAAAAGTAAAAAAAAGAATATATAACGTACTAGTTTTTGCCCGCGACTTCGTCCGCGTTAGTTTCGTCATTAGTAATACATATATGTAAAGCTGACCGGGCGAACTCTATTCCGTTTTAGAGGCCATTAATAATCAGGTTTCTCCTGTTCAATCGAACAGAATGATTGACATATTAGATAGTTGTCAAATCTAATGTCAAAAAAAACGTTTGTATGGGACATAGAAAAGGGCAGTTTTTATGGTTTTCCCAGTAATGAATCAATTTATTTCAGCTTTTATACCTTCCCTGAACCTCTACGAACATTTCAAGACTAAGATAAGATAAATCAGTTCAGCTGTTCTTGAGTTTTAGCGAGACTAAGGAACAGCAATCCATTTTTATATATATAGAAGATTAACAAAAGATTAGTATTTGAAAAACTGACATAAAAGCGTTTACATTTTTTAAGTAAGACGTCACGTTTATTCACTTCGAAATCTCTGAACATTAATCAAATGTCACATTTCATAAAACGTTTTATATAATTTTTATGTGACTGAAACAGAATAGATAAACAGTGATTTAATAGATGTCAAATATAAAATTCATACAGTAAGTTTATATCAAACTTACTCAAAACTTTAATAACTTTATCAAAATTTTAATGCGATTTAGAAAAAAATTACTTATTCCAATTTTTTAGAAAAATTTACAAACAATTCTTTCTATAAATTAAGTTGAAAAATGTATATTAAACATACTTAAGTACTAAATATATTTTAGATCATATTATATATATCGGCGCTACCAGCTTTAATAACGGATGCGACTTGAAAATAATTAGAGGCTGCCATCAATTCTTATTAAACCTCATTAGTATTTATGATTATTGTTAAAAGTAAAACGAAATCAAAAGAGAATAGAATTATGTTTGAATCAAAAATATGACGTCTGGACTCGCGACGGCGGACTCCAGAATTGAGAATTCAGCATTAATAATTCAGAGTTCAGTGAGCGTGTATCATAAAAGCATGTTATTATGAAGAATCTTTGAGAAATACAAGAGCATTAAGATCAATTGCAGTTTCATTTTAAAATATCATCGAATGCTCTAGAAGAAGTGATATTGGTAACGTCAGCGAGGCTGGCGTCCCTCTCTTTTAAAACAACGAATGTGTAATAAATCCGATATATATATTACATACATATAAAAATAAATATATATTTGTCTGATTTCCAAGTAAACCCAACCAAAAGCCACATCAATAATCTGCCACACACCATGCGATTCCAAAAAAGGGCGCTCACAAAACTCATTGTTCTTTATTTTAAAGATAACTTCACTACAGCTCTTTATTAGATCGACCCCCCATTCCGTTAAAATTATTAGTCTCTACAACAAAGGCTTACTGCATATCATATGAGAATATTTTATATTTCAAACAGGATAACTATTAATTCACAAGAATTTTCTTTAATAGATGTAATTAATTTATAATTTTAAGAAACCTTTTTCTACCTGGCAATTTCCCAGCTTCAGCAAGGGTCTGCCTTACATGTTGTGAATAGTTTTGGCTAATTGTTTTTACGTCCGGCCGCCTGCCTGACATCAACCCTCTTTGGGAATGCATTAATCAGTGATGTCTAAATACTCTTAGAAAGTACATATGACTCGGAAAAATCACATTGGTGCTTGCCAGAATCGAACCCGTGCCCTCATGCATGAGAAGCGGGCCTTTTACCACTAGGCCACCACTGACTGAATTTTAAGAAACCTTTTCATGTTAAAATATCAAATTAATCTTACAAAAGCAACATGTACTTGCTTCTATGTACATCTATATATATAAAAGAAAGTCGAGTTAGTTACTCCACCTATAACTCAAGAACGGCTGAACCGATTTAGCTGAAAATTGGCAGGGAGGTAATTTAAAACCAGGAAATTCCAATAGGATACTTTTTATCCCGTTCGATAGCATTCCCGTGGAACTTGACATGAAACGTCTGTCACTATAAAACGTGGAATAACGAAACACAATTGACGTATAATGATTGACGTATAATGAATATGTAATGAAGTATAGATGACAATTTGATATTTGTAAGAGATCTACTATATAAAAATAAGTCCGGTTTTGCATCCTGACGCTATAACTTCAGAACGAAAGAACCAATTTCCACGGTTTTGCATTCGTTGGAAAGGTCTCGGGCTCCGTGACAACAAAAATTTCAACAGAAAAGGGGGAAAATCTTTTGTCACATACAGCGTGATCATACATAACATGTACTACAAATCAATATTTTAAGTAGATGGTGCCGTCGCGTCGCATGATACATTGTTTGACAGCTACTCATTGTTCTCTTCTCAGTTAATTTCATGTGACAAACCGGTATTGTGTTTGTAGTTTGAACTCTTAAAACAATTTAGTATTTGCGGGATAAATTTAGAAAATCATTGTTTTTCATATGGGCATTTATATTTTGCGTGTTCACGAGTTTG